TTGCGTCTGAAATGTACATTTGCTAAAATCTACTTTTGCTACTGAAATGTAGCAAAAAGAGGAAAAGGGAAAGACCCTTTACATCTGTAGAGTGGCAGCAGGAAGAGTGATCAAAGAATTCTGACTCATTCAAAGTGACTTCCAGCCAGAATTCTCTGTTTTTGTAAATGTTTTTTTTTTTTTTGCTTCATTCAGAGAAGTAAAATATCCAGCTATATTCAGCCTAATAGCGAATTTTTACAGATCAGTATTACATTAAGCATATAACTTACAACTATAAACATTTAGCATTTGTATTCAGAGATAAATAAATGATGCATTGAAGCCATGGGAACAAAATGAGAATGAATGGGTTTATAAGTTGGGAATATTTGGGTGCAGTCAGTATGATAGAGATTTATTGAGGAATACTTCTGTTTCCTAGCTGTTGGATGTAGAGTAACACCATTGTAGATGCAGAGAAGGGGGTGCCCAAGTTCTGAAAAATATGAATGAGAGGACATTCAGGTACAGGGGCTGGAAATAAAGATAAACAATTTACTGGTAAGTAGACTGAAGCAGTGGGGAGTTGATTAAATCACTAAGAGGAAAAAGCTGATAGAGCAAACTCAGTACTGTGGTAGGTAATCTCTATTAGAAAATGTCACATTAATCTCAGAGGAGTCCCGAAACTATATCTTTGCATGCCATTTTGAGGTTTTGTGATAAATGTCATAGAAACATATAAACATTTATAATTATAGTAATTTGTAATTAAACTGGGTAGTTAAATGTTTCAACTTTGTTAGACACTGTGCAGAAGTGATGAGCCTAGCAGCCATTTTAGCCTGGATAATAAAAAAGCTTTTCAGGTAGCCTTCAGACTGGCATTGGACATGTTGTCGGGCCTGTTACCGCCAGTACTTACAGCATGCAGGGCTTCTAAAACAGAAGCATGGCATGCAGTCAGCTAGAGTCTTGATTTCACAACAATTTTGATTTACAGGTTGGGACAAGATTTTTGAGGTTAAGGTTTAAAAAAATAAGAAATGGCTCCTTTGCCTGATTAACATCTACAGTCTCCTACTCCAGACCTCCGAAATCCAGTCTTACAGGGATATTTATCAGTATTTCAAATGTAGACTTTTATTTAAATGGATGATTGGCAGTATATTTTGGCATAGCTTTAAAGACGGTAGAAAAGTAAAAGTACTAGGCCACCCCAAGTCAAGTGTAGCTGATGTAGGATTACTGTCTATTTTGAATCTGTGCATTTTCAATATGGGTAGATAAGCATGGGATATTTTCACAAAATGATTCTAAATATTTCTCACAAAATCAGTGAAAAAAGTATGTTTAGCTTTAATAACAATGGATTTGAAATGCCAAGTCCAGTGGGTATTTCTCAGCCTGACCTTTCTTAATTTCTCTGCGCTTTTGACTTTGTTCTATGTCCTCCAAAGTGTTCTACCCTGGGTCATTCTCTATCTCTTCATTCCTCCTCTGTCATCTTTTCCTGCACTTCTTCCTCAAACTTAGACCTAAACGTTGGTATCCTTAAGGTCTGTTCGTCAAGTCTCTTTTCTCTTTGTTTGTTATGTCTTCCACTGGGAAATGCGGTTTTACCCTAAGCTGCAAACCCATCATTTGCAACCTCTCCTCACCCAAAGTATTCCTGTCCCTTACTTTCTATACCTAGTCAGTCAGCAAGTCAGTTTGGTTTGGTGAACATTTGAGTCTGGCTGTATACCAAGCTTTGTGGTAGGCTCAAGTGTGTTTAAATATCTCTCAAGCCAGACATACTATCCCTACTATCACTGCCTTTGGTAAGGCTCCAGTCATTTCTTTTTCTGGACACTTCTGATCACAAACATTAATGGAGAGTCTACTCTGTGTCAAGTACTATGCTGAGCACTGGGGAAACCAAAATGATTAAGTTTATATAATCAGATCAAACAAGTATATGTAATATTGATTACCTAACACTTAGAAAATTAGGTCTCATGCTAAATATTCCATAATGTGTATAATAATACATTAGAACTGTGGACAGTTTTGCCTTATGTAAAGGAATAGTAGCTTCCTTTAGTGCATGGTCAAATACTGCAAAGAGCCTGCATGAGAGAGGCAGCAATACTATATGGAGGAATACCTGAAGCCTCTTTCTTGTGCTATTGTTATTTCTTCCTGTTATATCAGCTTGTCTTGTTTCAAAATTTGTGTTACTCTCTTCTTCACACTGTTTTATAATTATTACTGGATAGCTACCAAGAGTGAGAGACTGGATTTCACTTTCAAGTAATGGGAAATGCTGTCTGCACAGAATATTCCTTAATGGAATGGTTGTGTAAGACATTTACATCAGACACATAAGGTACAAAAGTAGTGCAGGAGTGATCTGTTCTGAGTAGGCCAGGGAAGACTTTATAAAACTGATCTAATTGAGCAGGGCTTTTGAAACTGGTGAGACAGAAGAAGGAGATTCTGAGGAGTAACATGTATGAAAGCACCAAAGTACATATAGGTAACTGTAAGTAATTTCTTTGTTCTGGAGTATAATGGACAAGGAAGGCTGGGGCTGGAAGAAATGAGGCCAGAGGAATAGGTAGGGGCTATAGAAAGATCAAGAAGGGTGGTGTTTGCTAGGCTAAGGAATGTGGACTCTGCTACTGAAAAGTTCAAATCAGAGTGGACATAGATTTATAGTTTAGAAAGAAGTGCTAGCTTGGGTGAGATCCACCCTGTATTCTATCTCTCCATCTCCAGAGTTAGCTGAGTAAAATACAAGACTGAGTAAAAAACAAGCAAATCCCAGCTGAGAGCTTAAGATGACTCCCAGATATCAAAGTCTAATTTTATACCATTTCTGTGAGGAAACTTGCTGTTTCCTCTCCATCTTGAACATTTTTTCATGAGCCATCTGCATGGCTCACTCCATTGCATTCATGTCTGTGCAGAAACATGATATCAAAGAGACTGTCCCTGGCTGTCAAAAGCAGCACCCCCATCACTTCTTAATTTCCTATCTTGATTTGTTTTTCTTCTTAACACTTACCAGCTCCAAAAGTTATAAATTTGTTTATTCATTTATTTTTTATGTATCTTTCCACTGGAATGTAAGCTTCATGAGAACAGGAGTTTTAGTAAGTTTTGTTCACTGCTGAGTGTTCATATACTTGGCACATAGTAGGTGGTCAATAATTGTTGAGGGAATGTGGCCCCAACCAGCTTCCACCTTCTCTTCCCTGCACTTCATACTTCAGACAGGGAACTTGTCGCAGTTCACCATGCCTCAGTCATGCCTCCTCCTAAAATCCCTTTTGTCTTTAAAGATCCATCTCAGATACCACCTTTGCTATAAAAATCTTTTTCAAGCAGTTGCTCACTGAACTTAGCTCTCATGACACTTTTTGAATATCTAGAAGAAGAGTGTTTTTCTGGACTACCCAGGATACGATAGGTGCAAATAAATATTTGTGGTAACCAGTGGTTCATCAGTAGGAAGTTATTCAATGAGGCATACATGCATTATAGGTAAAAGTTGAAGTTTGGTAGATTAATTGGAGAAATACAGTAATTTGGGTGACTTGAATTTGATTATAAATACAGTATGATTAGGGGAAATATCTAGGGAAGCAGGCACCAATTTTTATTAAGTTTGCAATTATACAGTCTGGAGAAAGTATCTACTAATTTATTTTGTATATATGCTACTTTATCAATTTGTTAATGTTATTTTTTGTAGAAATAAAATGAACTCTAAGAGAAAAATAAACAAGTCCTGAAGAAATTATTTGTTAGGTACAATGTAAAATATGTTAAATTTTCATATTTACTTTCTATTTGCATAAAGTATTATTTCTTCACATATAACATTGAAAACAAACTATCTATAAATGTTTTGATTGTATCAGATTAATAGCAATATATTCCAGTTTATTTCTACTTCTCAAGATACTATAATTTGAATTGTCAAAAGTGTCTTTGTCTTCTCAGTGAAACTGGAAAAAAGTCTTTGTCTTAAGAATACTTTAGATAATACTTTATTTTTCTGGAAAATAGAAAGGTGCAGAAACACGATCTAAAATTACTTTTGTTTTTGAATATCTTTTCTATTTATATTTGAGCATGGGTGTCTGAGCTGTAAATTCACTTTTTAAATAATGATTTCTGCTATAAATCCTGGCTCAGGCCTTTGTGTAAAGTTGTCTAGTTTCTCATTTCTGAACTCAAATTCTACACCTATACCTAAATATCTTTTTTCTCAGGTGAAAATCATGCTAAATGTTGGGGTTTCACTGACTTTTCTAATTGAGACACATTATAAAAGCTAATAATTACGTAGAATTACTGACCAGTCATGAAAGCAAAATTTGCCAGTAATTACAGTTAATCTCTAATGTTTATCAACCCACAAATAATAACTGAAGTCAAGCTTTTTCTTGTTTTAATGTTGGAGGATCCCATTAGATGGCTGGCCGACCATCTGGAGGTGTCAGAGGTCTTTGAGAAGCTGTCCCTGACAGGATGAAAGTGTTAAATACAGGAAGCTGGGGATGATGAAGATGAGCTTTTTATTTAAGGTTGCTCTTATTTATCTATGGCATAAATGATGCCAAGATGCTTCTTGTGGAGGGTTACAAAAGAAATATTATTTTCACATAATTTATTGCAGATTTCTTGTTTTGTTTTGCTTTTCTCCTAACAATGGTTGTGTTTGAAGGGAAGAAAAAAAATCCTAGTAGATTTGTTAATTGGGAATCACTCTACCAAAAATATATAAGGTATGTAAGATGTACTCAGCATTTTCCTATGATGGATTCAAAAATTTTTAATTCAGTGTGAAGAATTCTACCCATTCCCCTGTTTTTCTTAAGATATGAAAGCATTTTGAAAGGATTTATGTATACTTGAAGTAGATTTTAAATATTTTTTTTTTTTAGAGAAATATTTGAGGAGATGTTACAATGAAATTGAAATTTTTGCATTTTGTACTTTATGGTATTTTGTTTGTTTTTCAGCGTCAAGCCAGTGCCGGCTGAAGGAATCAAGTCAAATCCTTCCAAGCGGCATAGAGATCGGCTTAATACAGAACTGGATCGCTTGGCTAGCCTGCTGCCTTTTCCACAAGATGTTATTAATAAGCTGGACAAACTTTCAGTTCTTAGGCTCAGTGTCAGTTACCTGAGAGCCAAGAGCTTCTTTGATGGTAAGACAGAAGGGATTAATTTTTCTATAATTGCTTACAAATACTTAAGTTGAATATGGCTGTTTCTGCTTCTGTGTTGAAACAGCAAAAGTTAGCCATACATGAAAAGGTTTTTGTTTATTTGCTGCAGAGTAAAACTTAAGTAGAAAAGCCAAATTTTCAATGTTTCCAAAAATCAGGTTTCCAGATTTATTCATCAGGCAGATGGTGTCACTTAAATGACATGTGGTGTTACTCTTTGAAAATCATGTATTTAGAAGTGATGCTCATATTAAGTATGCTAGTTTCCAGTTCTACTTCTTTTAATTCAATTTTTTTAAAGTCCCTTTCTATTTTTTGTATGAAAAGAATTAAACACATTAAGTACTACATATTTTTGCTAGATTTCCTTCAATATCTTTTACTTCATTTATCCTTTCAAAATTATGTATACTTCTACTTCATATTAACTGTATGTTTATCCAGGAAAATAAAAAATTTTTGCAGCAGAAAAAGGCATTTCATTATAGAAGTCAGTAGAATTGGATTCAGGCTCCATTGTCCACTGACAAGCTATTTGACTTTAACCAAGTCAGTTTGCTTCCCTGTACCTGTACCTTCCTTCATTTACTCAGCTGCTAACGAGAGGGATTTGAGCTAGGTGATATTTGTTACATTTAATCATACAGTACTTTATAGCCAGGAAGTATTTTAAATGGAAATAATGTTTCAGTGTGTCTCTGCATGTAAAACAATTCTTTGATGTCTTTTTTTTAAATCTTGTATCAGAAATAGATTTTTTTAGGAAATGTTCAGTCTTTTAAACATATCATGTTCTTTTACAAACAATAGTGAAGAATTGATGATAAAATCTCATGGCCTGTGTCAGTGCTTCTCAAACTTTAATATGCTTACAGATCACATAGGGACTTTGTCAAGATGAAGGTTCTTAGTCAGTAGGTTTAAGTGTAGCCAGAAATTGTGCATTTCGAATAGATGATGCTGATCCTGCTGTCGTAGGCATGTTTGCAGATACTTGAATTTTTGTAGTTTGAGTTTAGAATATTGCAAAATTGTTATTTCCCTTTAGATTTATATTTAGATGGTTTGATGCATTTAGTTTGAGCTGTATGTTCTTCATTTTGGATAAAAGCTGTATAGTTGGACAGTTGTGATCTGGGCAGTATATACTGATTTGAAGATAATTTCAGGGAAGATTATATGTTTAAAGTTTCATAATAAACACTTAATTTTCCCTAAAATATATAAAAATATTTGGATCTTCCATCTATACCAAACCCTTCATCTTTGAGATGTTATGTGATATTCAGTGGTATGTGCATGTGTTTGTTTATCAGCTATTTGGTCATTTTGTGATAGAGCTGGAAGTAGTACCCAGGTCACCAGCTTCTTTAAATTGTTTTCCCTGACCATGTTTCAATTACTTCTCTTTTTTGGAAACTTTACATAGCACAACCATGAAGACTTTTCCCTAGATCCCTGGTTCTCAAAGTGTAGTCCCCAGACAAGCAACATTAACATCACCTGGGAACTTGTTAGAAATGCCAGCTCACCCTAGACCTACAGAATCTTAAGTTCTGCTGGTGGGGTTAGATGGCTGTTGAAGTTTGGAAGCCCCTGTCATAGACTGTAACCTTGAGGCCATTCCTAACTTCATGGACTGCTGTTTTAATCCTCAGCATTTATTCATATGTTGTGCTTATTGCTTGATCATGACATGAGATGTGGTCTCTGCCCTGAGGGAGTTTACAGTCTAGAAGCCAGGGAGGCATTATTCCTTGACTCTGGTAAAGATTTAATGACATGAGTCATTTTGCTTTTATATTTCCTGATCCTCTATAATGGGAAATCAAATTATATATGTTAAAAATAAAAAAAATTAGTATAAGTTTGTTCCCAGTTTAGAAGTAGTAGAGCAGAACTGAAGCTACTTAGGGAGTAGCTAGTGCACCATTCAAGTACTAACATAATTACTGCTTTCTAGGCAGTGTGAATGTGTATACGTATATATGTGTGAGTATGTAGGTATACATTTGTGTATTAATACATTAAAATATGCTATATATTATAATTTAATATATTAATATAATGTGTATTTAAGGTATAAATTTATAATATATATATATATACATTTCATTATTAGACATGTGTGTCCTGTTCATACCTCAAGAAAAGGAGATTCCGAAGTCTGCCCTATAAAGAATGTCATAGTTGCAAAGGCTTATTATGGAGTTCTTGTTAGTCTTGTCTAATAAGTCCTGGGGATGTAATGTACAACATAGGTAATATTGTCAATAATATTGTGAAAACTATGGTGAAAGATGGTAATTAGGCTTATCATAGTGATCATTTCATAGTGTATATAAGCATCAAATAACTATGTCATATGCCTGAAACTAATATTGTATATCAAGTATACATCAATGAAAAAACAACTTGTGATTGTGAATAAAAGACATTCAGCCTTAAGAAAAATATTTTCTTAGCTCTTCATTAATGAGTTTATTTTTAAATTCTGGTTCAGTGTATTTAACAGTAGGATCTTATTACCCTGTTTGTGTCATTCCTTCATCAGTTATATTATTTTAATTTTAGGCCCTTTGCACCACTGATTTTTAAACTTCAGCGAGCAGCAGAATATCCCGGAAATCCTGTTAAAAAGCATATTCTGATATGCTGATTTTGTGTAGGTGCTATGTAGGACCTAGGAATCTGTATTTTAATAAGCATCCTGGATGAGTCTAAGAGTGATTTAACCTGGCCTTGATTATGCCCTGAATTTTTGTTTTTTAATGTTTTCTTTGCCTTCAGAAAGACAAATCCAAACGTACACAATTTTAGGGAGACCATAAAAGCGTTTGCTTGCATTTTAGTGGAGCACGTACCCTAAGCAGTTTCTTAGGTTGTTCAATACGGAACAGAGTTAGGTGGAAGGTGGGGGAAATACCAGTAAAAAAGTTCCCCACGTCTTCTGCAGACTACCAGTGGTCTTGGGAGGCAATGCAGTATTTTGAGAGAGCACAGAAAATAAACTTTTCAGAGTAATCCTTGTGACCTGACAAACATTAAAGGTAAACGAGGAGACCTGGAGCATGCCAACAGTGAGTAGGATTTTTGTGTGCAGTTAAAACCACTCTCCCACTACTAGGGAACCAGTATAGTGAAGTGAAGGGAAGCACTAAGTGAATAACAGGATGCAAACAGGGGGTGTGTGAATTCCTGCGGAAAGAACAATATAAACGAGTAATCATACAATCTTGTTAGAAAGGAAACTCAAGGTTTATTGTAACAATAGATATTTTTCCAAGAAAATACATCTATTTATTGCAAGTTTAAATAATCCTACTTGGGTGGATCTTCTTAAATTTTGGAGCCTTGGCTATACTGCTATGATCATCTGAAAAGCAACACTTAAGTACAATATTAATATTTAACCATTTCTAATCAAAGTACTCTAAAATAAAACTTTGAAGTACTTGAACAAGACTTAGTCATTTTTCAGTTATGGTAAATTTAGAAGCAGTTTTTTTTGACACTACTAAACTGAAATAATAAATTTTGTAGTTCAAGATTGTGCTTTATTCTGATAACTGTGCAGGCATTGAATTCACAATGAAGAAAAAGAGGGAGAAAAAGATTTCTGCCCTCTAACAGCTCAAGGTCCAGTGTCTCAGAAACTGACATATATAGTATGTGAATCTTCTAAAAATATACATATTAAATACCCATAATGCAACATTTAGGGAGCATTTTCAAGGGAAGCAAAAATATGAGAAATTTTGTTTAGTTTTGGTTTCAACTGGAGAAATATATAATTGAAGGAATCTTGGAATGTATAATCCTGGAAAACTCTTGAACTATACATATTCTAGATAGTAAAGCTCAGAGAATTGTCTTTCAGTTTGTTTATGCTGCAGATGAACTAAATCATTATAAAAAAATTTTGTTTTCACAATATAGTGCTTTATTCATTTTTTTTGGTGCAATTAAATGTGTCACATATTGCCTCATTTCTCTGACTGGAATGGAAGCTCCTTGAGACTTACTGTTTTTACTGCTGTATATTAAACACTTAAAACAATGCCTATCCCATCATAGGCATTCAATAAATATTTATTAACCTAATTACACTAACATCTGAAAAACAAAAATTCATGTTAAAATTCTAGATAATGTGTTTAGAAATATATGTCTAGGGCTGGGTTTAAGATGTTATTATCTTGCTCCAGATAATCTTTCTGTTAATAGCCAATTATGTCAATTGGTTCTATCAATTATTTATTCTCTATAAATATACAGTTATAAGAAATAAATTTATAGCAGTAAGAAACTTTTTACATGGTCTCTGATCGGCTGAATCATCCAGTGAAATGTGCACAAGTATTTAAGGATTCAAGTGTCAAAACTGTGTATACTGTTTTTGCAGCAACCAGTATCAACTGTACCCTTTCTCAGTGCTGGCAGAACTGCCTTTTGCATTCTGTAGCCCTACTCTTTGCTCCTTTGCCTTCACTTGACGTTTATTATCTTGTTCCTGGGTCACTGGTCATTTTCTCCTTTGCTGGATATTCCTTTTGTACTTCTCAGCAGTCTGGCAATCTTGGTAGTTTTTTTTTTTTATTTTTGTCAGTGTAGGTGGCCTGTGCAAGCAAGTAGGACTCTGTATTAAACAGAAAGTCACTCCCCTTGTAGATTTGCTAGATGAAAAAACTTCCAGAATAAGGTGATACTTTAATTTTGATTTTGACACAACAAACACATTTAGACATGCTTTTAGGATTAATAACAATCTATTAATAGATTAATGACGAGAGTAAAAGCTATTTAAGTTCTGTTCAATTTCCTTAGTAACATTGCTCTTCTGTGTTAACTTTTCTTCTCTGCTTGTGTTTATTTTTTAAAGACTTCTCCAAATTGTGTATCTTTGAAGTATTTCTGTAGAGTCTTTTTGGTTTTTTGTAAATGAATAACAAAAATCCAAAATTGCTGTTTTTGAATAC